GCGCGCAGACATGGGCAGCCGCGCCAGGGCGCGCTGGGCGGCCACGGGGCTGGGTGTCTTCGGGCTGCTGTGCGCCGTGCTGGGCGCCGTCATGATCCTGGTGGTGCCCTCGCTCATGAAGCAGCAGGTCCTCAAGGTGCGTGCGGCCACGGGGACCCGAGCGGGGGGGGGCCTGACCCCCCCAGCCCAGCCACCCCGGGGGTCCGGGCGCGGCACGGGCTGGGCCTGTGGCTAAGCCGCCCGCGGGGCTGGCCCGGGGCAGGGTGCCCAGGCGGGTATAGCAGGAGCGCTGAGGTGGAAACCCCCCCCACCCCCCAGACACGTGCGAGGGTGGCAGTCCGCGCGGGAAGTTGGGCGCTCAGCACAGCGCCCTGCCGGCAGAACCTGCCCCTGTCACCCGCACGCCCCTGATGCCGCCTGGCGCGATAAACCGCTTTTCTCCGCCCTCCCCGACCCCTGGAAGTGCGTTCCAGCCGCCCGCACCCCGGCTTCCAGCGGGGCTCTGGGAGTGCACGCCGGCGCAGCCCTCGGCCGTGAGGCTCCCCTTGCCGTCCACCCCACTGCCCTCTCCGCCCGGCGGGCGGCTGGCCTTCAGACCCGCACTCTGCCCCGTGGCTGGGCGGCCCCTCGCACGGTGCTGGAGTTACCTAAGGGCAGGAGATTAGACGCAAAACAAAACAAAACCGGCGGCTGAAAGCCTTTGGAGCCACCAGGCCACCTGCCAGTCCCTGGCGTCTCTTGGAAGGGAAACTGAGGCTCACCAGGGCCCCAGACTCGATGGTGGAGACCTGGAGTGGACCTAGTGACTGTGGCTGGCTTTCTTTCCCCTCTGGGCCCCTGTGGAATGAGTTTCTGGTCACCCTCCTTGCAGGGCCTTCCTCCCTGAGCTCAGCGCAGGGACTGGCACTACCTGGGCCGAGGGGCTGGACTTGAGGAGGCAGTGAGTGAAGGCGCTTCAGGGGACACCCATCCTGCTGCGCTCGGCCACCTGGAAGGACTGCCCAACGTGGGGCTTCTTTCTCCTAGGTCTCTGGGGAGCAGTTGTGGCTTTGGTTTTCGCCCTGGAATTTGATTGCCAGGCGGCCCCCCTGGACGCCCCGAGTCCCTCTTGGGTAGTTTATTTTTTATTTTTTATTTTCCATCTAGAGATGGCTACAGAATCGTCTGGGGAAGAACCCCTTCTTCCTTGCCACAGACCTTCCTGGGTGTTTCTCTGCCACCCTTCCCACAGCTAACTGTCACTGCAGGATTCATCCTACGAATCCTGTCCATGTGGTGCCGGTGAAACTGGGTGCACAGGGAGTGCAGACAGCAAGCCTCTCACCCCAACCCCGAGACTGCCTCTGGGGGTGGGTGGGTGAGGAGGCACTCTGTGACCCCGTTTA